ATATATATATCAAATGCTTGATTGAAAACATATTTTGGCCGTTGAATTCAGTGCATTCACGTTCTACATAAATGTACCAACGATGTACGATGCGTATTTAAGCCGTAAATAAAAGTATTAGAATATATTAACGCGAAAGAAAAGCAGCCGTCATTACTGCCTTCTGTTATTAGTGCGGTGTTACAACAATGAGTTACAAGTAACAATAACCGCTAATTCGTATGGGATACACATTTTGCCAAGTTGCCATTGTTGATACCGTTAGCATTAAAATGAAAATGGATAGAAAAATATAATTAAATATAATATTTTTATATTCATTAAAATTGCCCGGTTTTTACATGCATTACCCTTCATTCTCACATCTTAGTAAGCAAAGGGAAATCATCAATTTCTTTTCACATTCAACTCAATTAAAGGACGCAATTTAAAATAGGTTTTAAATAATTTCTAAAATATTAATTTTAAAACTTATAACATAATCTCGAATGTAAGAAACGGACAAAGGAATATGCAATATATACAAATTCTATCTTAGGTAGCATCCAAGTGCCTAACACCCACTCTTATGTTCGTGCAGAAATTAGGCTAATACTGTATTCTCATCATTCACCAAATTAAACACATGTTTTTAACAACTTAATATTTCAATAAATAGAAGAGATTGTTTAGGTGTACAAGTAATTTCCTTCCCCTTTATTGAAGGGGCAAGAACAGTTACAACAGTATAAAGGGGAATGAAAACATTAAATTTCCAAAATGATTTTCAACTTCCAATTATATTTTTCATATACCATACGTTGCCTGAAAACTGAATACTCTTTGTTCTCTATTCAGAAAGTGAGAAATTAAAATAACTTACGATAGTATTGTGGCGTCGTTAACACGAGGGCCAGAACCGTTAGCCGGTGAAAGTGCGCTCGCGGGAGGAAGGGTTGAGCATGAACTTCGGGATTTTGCGCTCTGACGATTGACTCAGGTAGAGCTGCAGAGCCAAAAATAACCTTAGGCTGTAAACTCCTAGGAGGCAAGCCAGCGAGCCCTCGCTTACCGACAGCAGGCGAGCCAACCTGGAATCTTGCTGTGGGGCGTAACCCCCTCCAAAGTGCTAGCCAGCGAGCCCTCGCTTGCCGACAGCAAGCGAGCCATATCATTGGAACAGTGGGGGGGTCAGCTCAACTAATTTAACGGCGGCCATCTGCGCCCGCGTTCTCATTCAGTTTACATCGGAGAGCGTTGTACGTGTAAGTACTAGGAGTGTGGGCGAGATGTCCGGAGAGTAAGGGCAAGACGATCTCGCGTGTAGGCACACGGTCGCCACGACCGGTTTAAATTTTGGCGACAGGCCATGTGACGGTAATTGTCACGGGACGGAAGTCCGACAGCTCGCATCACGTTTGGCTTTTATTTTTTCTGCGGTAAAGCAGGGTACTGGAAGGAAAAGGTTGCCGGAGTGTTTAAAATTAGCAATTTATTGTAACTTATTTATAATCTTTAATATACTATTTTTGTTTTGTTAATTGAATTTATTTCTCATTTCACTACGTCACAGTATGTTTGGTCCAGTTACCTGTCAATACCAGTGAGCTCTAGTGAAGTATAATGTTGGGCACTGGTCAATATTTAGCCATTCATTCATTTATAAATAATAACAGCTGCTTGTACGGGTCCGTGTGCACGGGGCATTTAAATCATTATTTTAAATAGTTATAGCGTAACAAGTTCGAAATCCACGTTCGGAGAAGGAACATTCATTACATATGATCTTCTATTACGCCTAGAGCGAAGTTTTGCAGCTTGTTATTGCTTTCTGCAAACTGATGTGATGGTGGATGGACTGAAGAACCTGTCACAAATCTTCATATTTGCTCCTATCGTAACACTGTCTTCTCCCTCTTCGGAGGAGATTTCGAATTATGTAATGATTTCATGCGTTTCCATGTCTATATAATTATCAGTTTTTGCATACCTTTCTTCGATGTAAGTGATTTATTTGTTTAATTGGTCCATCAATGAGTGTATCGCCTTAATTGTTTTAATTTTCTTCCTGTTGGACTGGTAAATGTAAGAACGTCGTAAGTTGAACACGTTCACAAATAACGGTTTTTTCTGAGAAGTCTGACAAACCAGATGCTCCACTTTCCATCTGTGTAACTTTGTCACTTTAAGGGTCGGTTTCACCAAAGGAGTAAGAGTTTACTCTGGAATAAATCATGTTTACTCGAGAGTAACTTCTTGGAACGTTTCACCAACACTTTACTTGAGTGTAAATCGCTTACACGAGAGTGAATTCGAGAGTAACTTTACACCGCGAAAATCCGACGGGTAAAGTACGGAGTAAATTCAGTTTTCAACGTGCATGTACCTCCGAAGTGTTTTACGTTCGACGATTACGAATGATAGTTTTTGAAGACGATTCCAGCAATGATTCGGAATATTATCCACTTAGCGAAGACAAAGGGTGCGAGAGAGAATGGATTGCTTTTAATTATGACGATCGAGAATTTGTCATGAGGTTATGTTTGACCAAATCAGCTGTTTAACCTCATCAGATACATTGTAAACTGTAGAGAACTTCTAAAGTTCTTTTCTTCCATGTAGATACGAAATAAAGGTAGTACGTACCGAAACGACAACAAAAGGAAAAATATAACTACAGAATTACAAGTACTAAAAATATTCATTTATTTATTCAGTAAAAACTGTATGTGACGTATGGGGGAGATCATTTGCCCACGTTTTATTGAGTTCCAGACTCCCTTTCCAACATTTTAACTACAAATAGTTAAAAAGTGAATAAAAGTACATAATAATAATAATGATAATAATAATAAAATTTAGAAAAACACGAGATCAGCAACATTTGAAAAACTAAACATTTTCGCTCCCTAGTTATAGAAAATTAATTTGCACCGCCATCGGCAAACGAACTGCAAATTTGATTTTTCTGCATTGCTAACAAAATAGTAACTCGACTCCAGAGAAGAAGAATGAATATTTATTAAGAAATATAGATACAGAAACTAGGATATAAACTATGTTAACTCAAACCACCATAACCCCACACCAGATTATAACGCCAAGTACTCCGAAACTGAAATGAAATGTAGAATATAAGGAATTAATTAAAGGTTGACGTTGGTCCGCATTGGTTCCCAGCATCATCCTCGCTCACAGCCTCTTGAATCACTCTCTTAGAGAATTTCACTAACAATTTACTCGAGTGTAAATCGCTTACACTAGAGTAAATTCGAGAGTAACTTGACACTGCGAAAATCCGTCGGGTAAAGTACGGAGTAAGCTCAGTTTACAACGGGCATGTATCTCTAAAGTGTTGTTATGGCTTGACGATTACGAATGCTAGTGTTTGAAGACGATTCCAGCAATGATTCGGAATATTATCCACTAGCGCGAAGAAAAAGGTTGCGGGAGAGAATGGATTGGTTTTAATTATGACGATCGAGATTTTGTCATGAGGTTACGTTTGACCAAATCAGCTGTTTAACTTCATCAAACACATTGTAAACTGTAGAGAACTTGTAAATTTCTTTTCACCCATGTGCATGGGCGACGCTGATTGTCTGGAGTGTATGGAGCACACCATATGCGAAAATAATGAATTGAATTGAATATGCCTTATTTTACGTGGCGAGACTCGGGCCATCAGGCCCGCTCTTCCGTCTGACCACCAAATTTTGCTACGCACCTTTCATATAGCAGAGAAAGAAGTATTTCTTGGGCGAGAAACAGGCGATTTGAATTTAGCTCAGAGGCGTCATTTAGGCTTGAGGATCTTTCACATGCAAGTAAATCTACGAACATGGAACAGCCGCTTTACTTCCCCTCCGAAGGAAGGCGTACGAAGGATTTTTTCGCCCTAAAATCCACGGCTTCGATCGGGTTTGAACCCGCCAACTTGGGTACAACAGTCCAGTACGCTAACCGTTACACCACCGCCGCCGCCGCCGCAAAATATCTGCTTATGGAATTCCATACCCCAAAAGTATTGAAAATAAAAATTATATTTTTTGGAAAACAGAGAAATAATACAATTTTTGAGGCAATAATAAAAATTATTGTGATTTGAAAATAGATACAGTAATTATAAATATTATTACAATTTAACCATGTATTAATACCACGATTAAATCCCTTTCTTTAAGTCATGTGTAAAAGTTCATGAATATTAAATAAATTCCGAAAAGCAAATATAATATTTAAAAATAAATGCTGTGTCGCCGAGATATAATTGTTTATGTTTACGAATCAATCGAAAATGTAACTGATACATTTCTCATATAAACAAGAAACGTCTTTCTTGGACCTAGTTAACATTCGAATAGCGAACTAAGTTTGTTCAGGCATAGTACGGCGACGATTTTACGTCTGTGCTTCAGATTTGAGTAAAAAATTAACGGTTTTTAATTGTTTACTTTCATTGTCTTCAATTTCCATATACGCAATAAATATGAGTAAAAGAAAGAAACAAGGAAAAATTTAATCTTTTTTTTCAATAAATTTTAACTTAAGTATTATCATTTTCATAATTATATACCAATAGTTTTATTAAAAGCAATTATATATTGTATGTATGTTTATTTTATTTAATTTAGGAAACATCTGCTTTGTCATCAGATGTACAGTGAAGCACAATAAATAAGCCAGAAAATACTACAACGAAAAAACTAAGCCATTCTACTCCAGGTACATTTCAATTTAAAAATTATTAATTTCAAACTCTATATAAAATAGAAATAGAGAACAATTTAATTATATTAAATTTAAATAACATTTTTAATTTTTGAATTCCAGTACAAGTCTTAATTTAATTTGCATTCAGTTGTATATACATTTTTTGAATTGCCTATAATACGGTAATATTATTTATATTTTATTTAAAATCTTTTAAATATTAGTGTATTAAATAATTATCTTTATTTTAAATCTCTACGTTAATTTTCAGGAGAAAAAATACCTGCTGCTTTTGCAGTCATTGCTTTCAAGAAACACGAATCTGGAGAATTATATTTATCTTGTGCACAAGCAATATGCAGTTCAAAAAATAAAAGTGTTTCTGAACGATTATCTGATCAAAAACAAAAGAAATGAACGAAATGCTTTGAAAAAAATATTTAGCACCGTAAATTTATTAGTAAGACATGGTTTAGCGTTAAGCGGAAGTGATGATGACAAACAATCAAACCTCATACAATTTTTACCAACAAAAAGCAACGATTCCGTGGAACTCGCCACTTGGTTAACTAGATCACAAAGTACTTGGTTACATCATGATAATATTAATGAAATATTAGAATGCATGTGAAATGAAATCCTAAGACAAAAATTACAACTTATAAAGTCCGCAAAACTGATTTCGTCAATAGAAGATGAAACTTCCGATGCTTCACGAATGGAACAAGTGTCGATTTGTCTGCGGACTGTATTGGATGATTTAACAATTCAAGAGATTTTTGTTGTTTTTTTGTGTATGTGTATGAATATTGTGTATGAATTAGATACATTAAAAAACTATGAATTGCCTACAAGTTTTCACCAATAACAACAAATCTGAAAACTTCAATTAGTGCAGTTACAAACGCTGATGCGAGTTACAAGAAGCATCAATTACACCTTACAAACTCTTAAAGACTTCAAAGGCACACAATTTTGTACTCTTCTTTTCAAAGGCATCCTCTATTTAATACTTCTCTCTTCATCAATTAGTATTACTCTATTGTATTATTTTTTCATTATTCTTAAAAAATTATTTCAAACTTCAATGTAATATATAACTTTCTCAAAAATTTAAGTTATATTTATTTTTTAAATAAATAATCTCACCGTTTCAAAAGGTTTCTTAAGCAGAGTTGCCAGCAAACACAGCTTAAGCATACTGCTTAAACATAATTCAATATCGATGAATGAAAAATAATAAAAGCAATTTCAAAGAATGTTTATATTGCCTATATACTTCAAATAGTCAAAATCATTCATAAATCTAAGATACTTTTTAAAATTTCCAAATCAAAAAATTTCGAAGTGTTCTTCAGTATCACAAACAATATAGAGTAAGACAGAAAATACATTGTTGGAAATATACTAATTAAATCATATAATGTAAAATCACAAATTGTCCTTTCACACAAGCAATAAAAAGTACTCCATCCCTTTTTAAAAGCTTAAAATACAAGATAATGTTCTATTTCCAATCTTTCCCTACTATTTGACTTGCATATGAAGTCACCAATAATACGTAAAAACTACATTTGTTGCAGTACCTCATCTTTACAAGGTTGTTAGAAAAGGTTTTAGTCTGTTAACCTTACTTTACCTCGCCACACAAAAAACATTACAGGCACGTAAACAGGGCAGAACAATTTTCTTTTTTTTTTAAAGTCAAATCCACATAGCAACCACACAATCTATTCAAAGTGCAAGTAAAGTAGTCCAGAAGTAACTAGACACGCACAGACAATGTTAGGTGGCACCATACACAGAGATGACGAATGATGCCTGATTTCTTCACATGAGTAAACGCACATGTAAGGAGTCCTTAGAAAGATTGAAACATTGACCGTTAAATGAGAAAAACCACAAAAGAAAATAGAATGTGATGGGTGCGAAACTATGGTTTCTGATTAAGTAGATTTAAGCTGGTCAGCAATGAGTTACAAACTTTTCACAAGTGTGCATCTTCTTCGTTTGCTATGTCACAACACTTATCCAGTTTTATCTTTAGTTTTTGCAGGTGTAATGCACACTTTCTTCTTACACTGGTCAAGAACATTTTTAGGTTAAAGTAAGGTACACGGTACACCCTGAGAAGGCGTAGCGCGTAACAGGGCGGGGTCTCCTTAAGACCTAACTACTCTACGTGGTCTGCATATAAATGATAAAACTTACGTATAGGCCAATTTTTCATGGTTCGCCCTTCATATGCTTTGTCCCGCCCGCATTGTTCAAATGCCAATTTACTTTCAAAAGCAAGTTTTCTTTCTTCGCTAGCCCGGATCCAAGTCACGGCGAGGCTCGGGCCTCTGCCCTGAGCGTTCACGCAATAAACTCCTACGCATAATCCTACGCATCTATCCTACGGCATAATTACCACTCACTTTTATAAGAAATCGTTTCAAGAAAGCTCCAGAATCAAACTGCCTAAGTTAACGTCGGAGCGGCGTGAAGTGCCGGGTTTAAAAATGACTTCCGTAAGTTGTACCGATAATACTAGACTCCGGCCCATTTTTATACCTACTCAGATTTGGTGATAGGACCACCTTCAGAGTTCGCAGTCAGAATGGCAATATCCACTCCAAATAAGCAGGCAGAAGTCGGCCCCAACTTAGATAAACACAATACACTTTGAAGAAATCACGGCAGGACGTAACCATTTGACACGTTAAGAATGTTAGTAAAAGGTTTTTGATCGTGGAAACTTATTCACTCACTAGTGATTTTATTTCTTTGATTGACTTCTTAATTTCATGTGAAAAAATCTCTCATTACTTTTTCGAAAGGTTTGCAAAAAGAAAACAATTATCTCGTTCTACACAGCGTTTGAATCCTGAACACGGATGTTTGCACTATATTTTAGTTGGATTCGATTAGATTGATTTATATTGTTCTTTTATATTTCGTGAGTTGTGAAAATTACGAATTTAAACTCGTAAAAATGCAAATAAGTATTGAGAAAATCGGTAAGTAAAAAGTGAGAAATAATAGAAGAGCTGCAGTACTTCTAGTTAAACAATTAAATTTCGGGTCACTAATACATTAAGGTTAAAAGTAAAATCTTTTCTGATGCATAACTGTTTCTATTCAATTAAAAGACTATACGATTATCAAAAAGAAAAATTAATGTTTATTTTAATAAAAAACAGTGAAGTTTGAATTTAGTTTACATTTGTAATTGTATTTTTTAAGACTTAATACTGTTTGTAACAAATTAATGTACTTCAGGTTCCGGCTCAATGACTCCATCTCGATCTAGCGTTTTTTGTCCAGTTTCCCTGATCCTTGAGCAAATGCTGAGATGGCCATTGTTTTGCTTGTGACGTAAATGTAGCTTCACTATGCGCACGTTTTGTTTGAAACTCTCTTTTTGCTTGGTTAATGGTAAGAGTAGAGGTAGCGACGAGTTGATTGTAGTTTTGTTAGCAATGCATAAAAATCATACCTTGCCAATTCCGTGTACCTAATGCAAATAAGTTTTCTATTAACTCAGAAACGAATAGACTATTTTTTCAAATATTGCTAATCATTGTGAATTTTTTTAATTTTTTTTATTTTATTATTTATGTTTAACTTTTACTCACGCTTTCAAACTATTATAGTTAAAATTGATGGAAAGGGATCCTGGAAGTCAAGAAACGTGCGCAGATAAATCTTTTCCCCCCTTACGTCAATACAGTCTTTACTTTTTTTTAAATTTTAACTGATAATCTAAATCTAGTTACCCAAGCGCAGATAGCGGCGAGTTTGAAAGCAGCTACGCACGCCGCTGGTTGATAGAGGTTGCAACTTGATCAAGTGCGTAAAAAATATGCCTTGAAATGTGGTTGTGGGTTTGTGGCCTCATTGAAAATCATTAGATCAAATTTGCTCCCTGACAGATTGTTTCCGCGATTCTTCTTACACTTCAGTTGAATGCCGCGGCAACACCTTGTGCACAATGGTAATGGACGCTATGCTATATATTTTTATTCCCTCACCTAATAATAAATAATAATAAATAATAATATAATAACAATAATAATAATTATAATAATAATGCCGATCCGATGGTCGAGTTCGCTAGGCAGGTCTACAGTGGCAGTCTCGGACCAAGGATCGCGGGTTGTGTTGGCGGACTTGTTAATTACGCGTTCGTCTATTATCAAACATTTCACACCAATCATATCAGATTTATTGGTTTTATTGATCACTACCATGGTCGTTAGTTTCCGTGAAGTGCATTGTTTTGCTCGAGACGGTGTGTTAGTCCCCACTATATGAGTGAGATAGGGCAGGGGGTGTACTTAATAATGGTAAAACGTCCCTTATTTGAAAGTAGTGGTGTGGGACAAGAGAGTGGTGGGGGAGACGGTGAGAGGGGAGGTAATCCGCCATTATCTGCCCACCCATATACTCTCTGAAAGCAGCTGGATTTCGAAGAAATTTGATGTCATTTGAATTTTCTTATTTTTACTGCATATTCTCGATGCAATGTATTGAACGTAATCGAAATGTTAACAACCAACTTCATAAACTTGCAGTTGTGCGTTAATGAATGTTATAAAATGATTAAAATTGTTGAAGATCAAATGAACTACACATGCGAAAATTCAAATTTGAAATCTATGGAATAATGTTGTTAAGAAGCGGTTTGTTAACACTTTATGTTTGATTAACATATATAAGACGTGATGACCGGAAATAAAACGAGCAAGAAGCAAGTTTCCTAAACGGTTATAAATATTCGTCCTACAGAAACCAAACGTAATTTTTCTTAATGAGTCCCATTATTTATAGAAAAATGTTTTTGAAATATTTAGACCAAGTTCTTATGTCGTTTAGAACCGCCTTTGATTCTGATACTATGTCATTTTAAATACATGGCCGAACATTTTGTAATTGCAAAGACTTCTGAGAAGAATTTAACTTTGGATCGAAGAAGCTATATACTTCATCGTGACATGATTTTAATATATGCATCGAACAAAATTATCCAATTACTTCACTGCACTCGCGATATTGTAAAATTTTCTAAAGAATCTTTTCGGTTTCTTTCATTTGTTGACTATGAACTCGGAAGTGGGTAAAGTTTTTACTGTGCCGAACTTCTTCATGTACTTGCGCAAAAGGTCGTTTCAGCAATTGCGGGCTGTTAAAAAAATTATCTTCGAACAACAATGTGTGCCAAAACGTTTAAAACTCATTACCTCTTTGACATCCTCAAGAAGCAGCGAAAGCATTAGATATGACAAAATTAATTAATGATTTTATAAATAAAAACAAAGTACGAATAGCAACATTTGCAATGAAATAGTTTATTGCAATAATATTGAAATAAGTTTGTAAACGGTGCGTAAATGTTATTATTAACTTTAAAAATATAGGTTATATATGTTATTTTAAGTTAATAAGAAAAGGAAATTAAATTGTCAAATCTAATTGTTGTTCAAAATTACATTGTTATGTTAAAAATGAGTATTTTTAATTCTCTCTCTTCAACCTCCCTCCCTCCTGTAATTCTAATTTACTCCATACGCCAGAAAATTTTACTTCGCCGGCCCTGCCCATGTGGACACGAAATAAAGGTAGTACGTACCGTATACGATAACAAAAGGAAAAATAATTACTACAGGGACTACAAGTACTAAGAAATAGTTATTTATTTAGTAAAAGCTATGTGACGTATGGGGGAGATTATTTGCGCACCGTTTCTTGAGTTTCAGAATCCCTTTACAACATTTTAACTACAAATAGATGAAAGGCGAATGAAAGTCTAAAAATAAACAAATAATAATAAAATTTAGAAAAATGCAAGATCAGCAACACTTGAAAAAATAAATATTTTCGTTCCCGAGATCTAAAAAATTGATTTGCACCGCCATCGGTAAACGAACTGCAAATTTGATTTTTCTGCTTTGCTAAGAAAATAGTAACTCATCTCCAGAGAAGAATGAATATTTATTAAGAAGTAAAGATACATAAACTAAGAAATAAACTATGCTAACTTAAATCACCATAACACCACACAAGATTATAACGATAAAAACTTCGAAACTGAAATGAATGATAGAATATCATCAATTAATAATCATATTAATTAATAATATCAATTAATCAAAGGTTCGCATTGGTTCCCAGCGTCATTCTCGCTCACAGCCTCTTGAATCACTCTCAAATATTGC